CAATGCGCCTTGTGAAGCCCTAATTGGCTAAAGGCTTGCACCTGACCACAGGTCAGTTGCAAGACTTTGCCCAATCAGGGCACAGAGAAAAGTGAGAGCGATGATTGGGCAAAGTCATGATGACTCTGCCCTAACATGGCTCACCCTGTTACAACTGTAAACATTTGGGCGGAACAAGCTGTCACTGCTAGCTCCGCCCAAATGTTTATATGTTACCGGCATCTATCAAAATGCCATTATGTGGCGGTGTTCGTCGCGAGTGAACGGGACGGCGGTCGTTGTTTTTTAAAATTATTTCTATTGATTTTTTATTTCATTGAGTCATGGTCGTCATGGACAACGATGGACATCGTGATTGACGTTGGATTACATCGGTGGATCAATTTTCTTTTTTTTAAATATGATTTTTTTTTTCCCAAATAAAGGATTTTTTCAAAATTCTGGACTTTTTAGTTACAATTTTATTGAGCCCTTTAGTGAATAGGTAGGGGTACAAGTAACCCTTACTCATTCACAAGGGTGGGCCGGCATCTGGGTGCCCCTTTATTAAAGGGTTACCCTGATGTGAATAAGCCCCCCTGCCTGCACCTCCACAACCAACGCCCCAGGGCTTGTTGGGAAGAGGCCCTTATCCCCATCGGCACAAGGTGCTTTCCTGGGCGAATTCGGACTTTTTGGATGTTCTAAAGTTCGAATTAGAAATGAACTCGGGCCTGTTCGGCCCATCACTAATCCCCAGCATGAACACGAAACAAAATGTATTCATACAATATAATGGTGCTTTTTAGGTACTACCTCAATGAATTTACTGGATCCCCGCTGCTCTCCCCCTCCTGTGTCGACAGAGGCAGCGGCAATTAGAGGGAGGACACAGCTGCCAGTGCCCAATAGAGAGGAGTGAAGCTGATCACTCTGCGTTTGTAAATAACTCAGCATAGTGATTACTATGTCCCTAGTTATGAACAGGAAGTGCTATACATCACTTCCTGTTCATTTACGCTTGTGGACAGTAAATATTTACAATCTGCTCACTTTATGAATGAACAGGAAAGCTCAGTACAGAGGCTTCCTGTCCAATTATGATTGGGCAGTTAGTAAATATTTACTCTCTCTAGATGGTGAATGAACCGAAAGCCTCTGTACTTGTTTCCTGTTCATTGAGTGCTGGATCTGCAGAAAAAGAGATTGTGTCCTTAATCTATTTTTCTATTTTAAAAGGCAAATATCAGGGTCTGACCCCTGATATTTCCCCCAAGCCCCTAACAGTAAAGTGAAAAACAAAACATAAAAAAGAACATAAAAAGAAAAAGAAAACAATGAAAAAATAATGTAAACATTTTGAAAAAGGTTGGACCAAAAAAGTTGGTTTCGGATTTGGCCTGACAAATCTAGAAATTTCAGTTACGGTCAAAAAATGTCATTACGGTGCACCCGTTAAAAACATAATCACTTTAAAAGTACTTGGGATACCTCTATTCTTAACATAAATGTCCACATACACCAATCAACCATAACATGTTCACCAGTGACAGGTGAAGTAAATAACATTAATTCATTACAATGGCATCTGGAAGTGGGTGGGGATAAATTAGGCAATAAGTGAACATTTCTTTGATTGAAGTTGATGTGTTGGAAGCAGAAAAAATTGAGTGACTTTGACAATGACCAAATTGTGATGGCTAGATTACTGGATCAGAACTCAAAAACTGTAGCTCTTGTGGGATATTCCTGGTCTGTAGTGGTCCAGACCTACCAAAAGGAAGGAAAACCGGTGAACCGGTGAGAGAGTCATAGGTGACCAAGGCTAATTGATTCACATTGGCAGGGAAGGCTGGCCCACGTAGTCCGATCCTATAGAGTAGCTACTAAAGCTCAAATTGATAAAAAAAAAAAAAGATAATGCTGGTTACAAAAGAAGGGTGTCTGAACACAGGTGCATCGCAGTTTGTTGCGTATGGGGCTGCGTAGGCGATCAGGGTACCCACGCTGACCCGTGTCCACAGCCAAAAGCACCTACAATGGGCATGGGAGCGTCCGAACTGCACCACGGAGCAATGAAAGAAGGTAGCCTAGTCTGATAAATCACAGTTTCTTATTACATCATGTGGATGGCCAGGCGTGTCTGTGTGGCTTACCTAGGGAAGAGATGGCACCAGGATGCATTATGAAAAGGTGGCAAGCTAACAGAGGCAGTGTGAAGCTTCAGGCAATGTTCTGCCGTGAAAAATTGGATCCTGACATTCATGTGGATGTTACTTTGACATGTACCACCTACCTAAACATTGTTGCTGACCAAGTACACCCCTTCAAAGAAACCGTATTCCCTGATGGCAGTGGCCCTTTTTTGAGTAGGATAATGTACCCTGCTACAATGCAAAAATGGTTCAAGAATGGTTTAAGGAACACAACAATGAGTTTGATGTGTTGACTTGGTCTCCAAATTCTCCAGAGCTTAATCCAATTTAACATCTGTGGGATGTGCTGGAAAAACAAATCTGATCCATGCAGGTCCCAGCTGGCAATTTACAGGACTTAAAGGATCTGCTACTGATGGCTTGGTGCCAGGTACCACAGCATACATTGAGAGATCTAAGAGAGTCCATGCCTTGACTGGTCAGGGCTGATTTGTCAGCAAAAGGGGGACCTACTGAATATTAGGTGAGTGGCCATAATGTTATGCTTGATTGGTGTATATCACCCTTTTACTCATTGGTGCTCCGTGAAAACCCTTAAGGGTTGGACGCCTCCCAATGGTTCTGTTCTCCTGCAGTATCTGGACGACTTGCTTGTCTGCAGCCAATCAAGAGGACACGGTCTCATTATTATGTCACTCAGCACAAGAAGGTCACAAGGTCTCTTATACCAAGCTTCATTACTGCAAAAAGACTGTTTGATATTTGGGCTTCACATTGGCTCCACTGAAACGCCACCTTTCCCCATATGGAATACAGGCACTGCTACCTTTAAAGGAACCACACACAAAGGACATGTTGAGTTTCCTGGGCATGATACATTTCTGCAGTCAATGGATTCCAGATTGCTCCTACTATGACAGCACCTTGAGAGAGGCCACTAAACAAGACAAGGAAGACCTTATACGCTGGACTGATGAAATGAGAAAGTCTTTTAAAACTCTGAAACAACTGTTAGCCTCAGCACCTGCGCTCGGGTTGCCAGACTATGGAAGGATATTCCATATTTATTGAAGGAAGGAATGTAAACCAATGTCAGCAGTCGTGGCCCAGGAACACGGAGGCGCTATAAGACCTACTGCATTCTTTTCCAAGAGTCTGCCTCTCCCAGTCCAAGGGATGCCAGCCTGCCTGCGTACCCTGGCACTTTCCCTGACTTTGGCTCATAAGAATATCCTACACCCCCATGCTGTTCTTCATATCCTTAAGAATCTGACTACACAACATATGACTATCCGCTTATGAAGTTATTTTTACATCAACCTCTAATCTAACTGTCAAACACTCCTCCCCCACTTCAGGTCCCATCCAGACTTTGAATGCTTTGTTGAGACTTAAAAGGAGAAGACATTCCTCTTGAGAAACATGACTGCCTAGAGGCCATACATGCAGACACCTAGACATGACTTGATGTCCACTCCTATTCCAGGTGCCCTAGATATCTTTGTAGATGGCTACTTCTCCTTCCCGAATTACTTTACATACCTGACAAGATATGCAGTAGTTCAGCTCCCAGATATTGTACATGAGGCAGGTCCCTTACCACACGCATCAACACAGGCCGCAGAATTGATTGCTCTTACAAGAGCATGTTATATTTTCAAAGGACAGGATGTCAATATCTATACTGATTCTAAATATGCTTTTGGGGTTGTACATGACTTCGGACTTATATGGCAGCGTAGGGGTTATATGACCCCAGATAGGAAGTCAATTTCACATTCTACCCTTATTACTGATTTGCTAAATGGTATTCAAAAGCCTTCCCGCATAGCTGTTATAAAATGTAAGGGACACATGGTATCTGATGGCTCTGTGGCAAAGGGCAACCATTTTGCTGATCAGGTATCCAAGCAGGCTGTTTTGCAGCCTCTTTTGGATTCTAGTCCCAATTTTGTAGTAATTACATTGCTGCAGGAATTGCAAAGCATGGCACAAGACGACGATAAGCAATTCTGGGATTCACAGGGATTGACCCCAGACCAGTTTGGTCTGTGGTCCAAAGGACGGATCATAGGTATCCCCAAAGCATCAGCCCCTTTGTTTATAGCACAGTTCCATGGTTTTGGACATAAGGGGAGGAAATTAACATTGCAATCATTAAAACAACATTTTTGTATAAAAGAACTCGAGACTATGGTGCAAGATCAATTGTCCAGATGTTTAACATGCGCAAGGAATAATGTTCAGGGGAAAAGGATAGGTAAATTAGTTAATTTACCAGCATCTAGTGGCCCTTTTCAGGAATTGCAGATAGATTTTACACACATGCCCGTGGCCAGCGGAGGTCTTAAGTATCTTTTGGTAATTGTAGATAAGTTTAGCAAATGGGTTGAAGCGCTCCCTACCACCCTTCATATAATTTGCTTATGTAAGGAAATTATATGAAGGTATAAGTGCCCAATCTCTGTAGACAGTGATAACGGACCAGCCCTCATCTCACAGGTGTTGCAAAACGTAGTCAAGTGCATTGACTGGAAATGTCAGATCCCTTAACACCCACAGAGCTCAGGGATTGTAGAGAGAATGAATAGAACTATTAAGGACAATTGAGAAAAGGCACGGGTGTGTCATTTGCTACCTGGCCAGATTACTTGCCAGCCGTGTTGGCTGAGATTAGACTGTCTCCTAATAATACTATTGGAATGTCACCCTTTGAAATTTTATTGGTAAGACCTTTTCCCACACCTTTGACTAGAGGTGCACCAATTTTAATTGAAGAGGACTTACAGCAGATTCAGGAGACATATGTGGAATAATTGATTAAGAAATTGAACAGCATCTATGGTGATGCCTTTCTTTCTTTACCGTCAGAGCAACCAATCATCCCTTTAAGCCTGGAGATGTGGTATTGGTGAAGGAGCTCAACCGACACTGAACTCTGGACCCGCCTTATGAAAGCCTACAACCATGATTGCGGTCACGAGAACAGCGGTCCTAACAGAGGAATCCCCAGCTTGAATCCACGCGTCAAGGGTGAAGTTAGCCCCTAAGGGACAGCAAAAAGATACAACACGTTGCAATTGATCCTCCTCCATCTGAGAGTAGGAGGAAGGGGGTTATCTAGTGATCTGAATTGTTTTAATTAATGACAAATATTTAACTAAGAGAATATGGAAGTGATGTCTGTGTACGCCGTACCCAAAGAGGAAGTCCCAGTGACGAAACGCGCAGGTGGGCAGAGCACACGGACATCACGATTCATCAGAGCTCGAGTGGATTTTATTCAAAATGTGAAGTTTTTATCGTTCTTGTAAGTTACATAGTTACATAGTATTTGAGGTTGAATAAAGACATTAGTCCATCAAGTCCAAAGTTTCAATTTTATACGCATTAAATCTTTTTAATCAATACTGGTCTGCACAATGGAGAGCGTTCTTTTGTTTTTCTGAGCATCAGTGACTGAATGACAAAATGAAAGCTTAAACAAGCAAGGGATGTCCTTGGAAGATATAGCAGGATCCAGGAAACCAGTCCATGGGCCGACAGTGCAAAAGGAGGGGGAGAAACAAATGATTCACGGTCAGCCCGTAACAAGGTGACCAACAACAGCTGGTGAGTGCGAATTTCACATGATCTAAACGCAGTGAGTTGTAGCGCAGTGCTGTTTTGTATTTATTGTTTCAAGAGTAGTGGGTTTGCTATTCTTTTGACACAGCAGCTTTTCAGATTGTTAGAATTTTCACAGAGCTATAGCACAGTGGTTCATCACAAACACCGTCTTAATATTGGGTTATATGCTCCTTTTAAGTGATTGGAAACTTAAAAAAAAAAAAAGAGGTGCAGAGAAAGCCTCCACAAAATCCATCCCTCTCCCCACAAGCCTCAGTTTTGTAGTAAGCAATAGGGAGATCTTAGAAGGGGAAGGAACAGAGGGGAAGATCCAATGTCCTTTACTGTACACCAAGAAATGGATTTTACAGGTAAGTAAAAAATGCTATTTTTGTAGTCTTGTAGTCTTAACCCTGGGACATTTCCAAGCAACCTAGCTAAGGGGTGGGCAACAAAGCAAAGGCTACAGGCCTACAACAAACAGCAGCAAGAAGAGAGAGAGAGCTCAGAGGGCAGCTTGAAGTGCCTTAGAAACTGGCATAAGCAAAACACTGAACATCCACCTGGTAAAACTCAACAAACGTGTGAACTGAAGACCAGGTGACACAGCTTTGCAAATCTGGGAAGCAGATGCTGAAAAAGCCCAAGAAGCACCAACTGACCTAGTAGAGTGAGATTTACCCAGAAAGGGGGGAACCCTATACTTCAAACTATAGGCATCAATGACAACCTGTCTAATTCATCTTACAAGGGTGAAATGAGAAGCTGCGGGATCCCTTGGAATAGACAAAGATGAAATGCAATTGCCTGAAAGAGGCAGTAGCAGAGAGGTAAACACAAACAGCATGTAACACATTTCTTTGGGATGTCTTTGAGCAGGATATAGGGAAGGAAGGACAATGTCTTCCTGCAGTTAGAAAGAGGAGACCAACTTGGGAAGAAAAGAGGCCTAAGGCCTCATGACAACTTTATCCTTGTACAACACCAGGTTAGGTTTCTTACACGGCCACCTTGCGAGTAAGATCGGCTAAGGGCTATCCCCGATAGGTTAAAATGCTTCTGGAGGGCTGATAGAACCAGCTGGGTATTCCACTGAGTCATTGGAAAGCTGTTAGGGTGCACAATGTGAGAGAGACCCTGTATGAAGGCCTTGACTAAGTGAGTTGCAACTGGCTGTTTGAACAGGACAACCAAGACTGAGATTTACCCCTTGATGGTGCTCAAGGTCAGACGCTGATCCAGACCAGATTGGAGAAAGAACAAGACACATTTTTGCCTACTTCATTATATATATTCCTTGTGAAATCTGTATACTGTATATGAAATGCATTTATAAGTAATAATCACTGAGGGATTGTTCAATTGCTTAAATAATTACAGTACTGTATTACTGAGGTAAATTCATTGTTAATTTCATGAGAATGTTTGGATAATACTTACATGTACTTTGGGCGTAGGTGGAAGGCCATTACTTATTGGCTTCTGAAACAGAAAAAAAATATTTTATGTATCTTACAAAATATAAAAACTGTTTTCATAAAGCTATAAAAGTAAGAGTTGGGTGGAAACCACTTTGTTAAAGGGCCTACAGAATGTCTGCTTTTCATCTCAACTGTGCAGCTACTTCTATGTATGTCTATGGATAATTTAGTGTAGCAGAACTTAACCCAAGTGGCCCCAAGAACTACTGACAGCTCCCATTTCAGGAGTTAGTAAACAGTATGTGAGCCCATATACCAGATTGTATCCTGCTTATAGTAGTTAGCTTTGGAGACTGTTGCCTTTAAATTTAAAGTCCAATGTACTTATCAATGCATATGCAAATAATATTAGTCTTATACAGTAGGTTTCATTAAGATGATTACAGTCAGTTATATCCCCATACAGGCTGAGTGAAGGGTTCCTCAAAATGCAACTTCTGATTCCACCTTATGTAGTCTTGATGAAGATGCAAATCCCAAACACTTCAACAGTGCAGGTGTTGAAACGTCGCTCTTATTTTTCTAGGTTTAACAAATACAAAACACTAAAGGACTAGACTAAAGGACTAAAAGGATCAAGGTGCCACCAACAGTTTCAATTGGTACTTTGGGGGATAGAGAGCAAGTATTAATTGATATACAGGCCAGACTCCCATGCTTTTATCATGAAGTAGGAGAGAAAGCACAGGAGAATGGGGATGGGAGGGAGAAGACAGGAGTCATCAGCAAAGGAGATGTGAGGGTGCTTGAAGTGTCCTCATGTCTAGTTGTAGTTCTCAGCGTGAACGAGCACAAAGGGTGGCTACCCTCTGGCAGGAAGTTATCCAAATGGATAAAGAGATAATTTTTTGAAGGATTTAAAAGCAAATAAGAAAAAACAGAGTAATCTAATTTTTAAATGTCTATATTTTAATTTTATTTTTTTAAATTTAATTTTTGGGTTTAGTGTCACTTTAAATATCTTTGGCACATTATTCACATTATTGTTGACAAAAGCAGCTCTCCACATTTTTCTTAACAACTTGGGTCCCAGAGCCATTTTCCCCAAAGAAAAAGTGCTCTTAAAACAACATTTTGAGGGAGAAACTTATCCAGCCCCTCAACATACCTCCTATTGTGCAATTAGAAGAATGATCAGGCAGTCATTGTTATTAACAAGCAACAGATCACCATCTGGTCAAAGACAAGTGCTTGACTCTCAAGGGGTGGCAATGACATCACAAATATCGCCACAGCTATTTCACTTTAAACACCAAAAGTATGGTGTTGCACTGTGATGCTATGAAACACTCTTAGTGAAAACTCTCTAGCAGCTTCTGGGCTTAGTGTCCTAAACAGCCGGCAGTTGCAACAATTACCCTCAATGGGACCTAGAAGATTCCAGAAGCCGTTTTAGGACAATTGACTGCTAAACCACTGCAAATTTAAAAAGCAAGTGGTTCAAGTTGCAAAAAATAAAAATATTTAGTGAATGCCATTTACCCTTCACACAAGTTTAACTATAAACCAAATAATCTCAATAATATTTTGAATTAAGCCCCATTAGATAAAGTCAATTTAAACTTATTTAAGGGGGAAGAAAACTTAGCTCTGCTTAGCAATAAGTTATGTGCAAATGATCAAGCCCTAATTGATCTGTAGGGAGCTTGGTGTGATATCTAAGGGCAAATCAATAGTGTTTTGTCATGTACACACAGATGCACAACCGTATTAGTCTACCAAGCGTTAACTGTTTAACTACAGATCATTAAAGGGTGGCAATTGATGGACACCTGGATTTCAAGTGTACAGCACAAGTTTCTCTAACAGAGCATGTGTTGGGCATATTGGTGATCTCTTTTAAGGCAAATAAATATTTTACTTACTGCTGTATCTCAATATGAATGGTTAAATAAAGTATTTATAATATAGATAAGAGAAAAGAGAATAAGGAGCTGGCCATAGATGAGGTGAAAAGGTTGGTATTGTTAAACAATTGACATATTTGTTCCCAATAGGAATTCCAGTTGGAATTCCAGTCAGTCCACGGCTGTCTGTGGGGTGGGGAAGAAGAAATGTTTACCTTGACTGACCAAATCCAGCTTCATAGGATAGGCCATCAGGTACACTATACCTCAGCTTGATACTATAACATTATTAAAATCAATGCTGCCTTTCTGTCTTGCTGCACATGGGACCTTAGGTTAACATTTACTATGCGATCTGATTGTACAATCTTCTTTAGATCTACCATCAATTATGTACTGCCATGTCCTCGTATTACATAGGTTTGGTAAATCTAAAGGAGATGGTACATAGACTGTGCAATCATGCTGTATATTGCACAGCCTGCTTTACAGAATAGGAAGTCTTTCCATGAGGGTCTCTCCACTAAGCAACCGGCCTGACAGCAGGGATTTTGCCAGCACCTGGTGGGCACTTTCTACTGTAAATGCCACAAAGAATGTAACTTTGGAAGGTGGATTGCATCCAGTTCTCTTTGGATTCACATTTGCATCCCCACTATCTTAAGACTGTTCCTAGGCAAGCCATTCGCTTTCCAATTCACCGCTATCCCAGTAGGCACCAGGGAGATGTAATGTTCCTCTGCTGAAAAATGTGCTCCACTGTTTTGGTTGTACTCCACTGGAGCTTTTGCAGATTTCTGGTCAACGTACATCTTGAACTACTCAATTTTCCTGGGTCAAAATGTATTCCAGGATGTGGTTGCTGTCAGGTGTTGTTCAATTACTTTTTTGAATGTGGACATTGGCGCCCACCTCTGGCAGTTTTTACACCATATGGCCAGAGCCAAGCTTTGAAGTTGTATGCAATCTCTACTCACGGGCAAAATCTTTTAACAGACTAAGTGTGGGGAGGCTTATCCTAATAGGGCAGTTTTTAAGAAGTTAAGAAGTTGTGTCTGGTGCAAACTGTACCAGTATCAGAATCCATCATCCACCAATGCACCAGTTTAAGATGCAGGGAGATCACCTTATAGGTATAGGTGTAACAAGAGGTGTTAAAAATATTTACATAGTCCATTCCTCGTATTCTCTGCAAATGTTTTATTTGACAATTCTCATAAAATGATGTTCCCAGTAATATTTTCTAATATCAGGAAACCAATACTTCATATGTATTTTGGGGTAGTGAGGGTGGTTATGTTTATGTCGGTATGTTTTTTTTTAGGTGGTGTATTTTTCCACACAAATTGGTAAAACAAGGTTTAGATAAGAGAAAAAGGTGTTGTAAAGGAGCATGGGTATTGTTTGGCACAAATAGAGGAGCCTATGTAGAGCATTCATTTGTAAAATGGCTGCTCTTCCGACACATAAAAAGGTTGATTTGTTCCAGCAGTGCAGGTCCATTTTGATGCACATAAGTAATAGGGAGATCATTTAATGAGTATAGGTCTGTTAGGGTGGTGGGAAGTATGTGATTGATCCCAGAGAAAGAGAAGTTATTTTTGCAGTAGAGAACTGATCATAAAATATGACCGATAGTGAAAGCCGGCAAAGGCTCATAGCAAGCTGGACAGGGAGATGAGGGGTTGGGTCAAAAAAAGAACAATAAACCATGTGTGAAAGCAGCAACTTTGTATCATCTAGATCAGGGGTCTCAAACTCAATTTAGTCGGGGGCCACTGGACACATTTTTTAGTCCCGTGGGGGCCGCTACTATATACGGTACCAGTGTTAATGTGTGCATGTTACAAGCGGCAACTGTGACCCATTTAAATGAATGATCGGGTGACAGCCGCTGCATGTACACGCCTGCACACCGCATGTAATCATATGTGAAAGGATTACATGCAGTTAGGAATCAATCACTATCTCTGGATACAAAATTGTGTATCCAGGGATAGTGATTGTTTTTGTAGCTGCATGTAATCATATCACATACAATTACATGCGGTATGCAGGCGTGTACATGCAGCGGCTGTCACCCGATCATTAACTTGAATGGGTGACGGTTGCTGCATGTAAACGCTAGATTAGGGATTCCTGCTGCAGCCAAATGCAAGTTTGTGACACAGGAATCCCTAATCGCACCTGAAATATAGATGGGAATGGGGCCTAATATACACAATATTCGGCCAGAGCTCAGAACTGACAGAGCTCCGGCTGCTGGAGCCGACGTGTAGCTGCTCTTGCAAGCCGGGCGCGCGGTCCGTGACCATGTGCCCGACTTGTCAGCTGGCTGCGGGCCACTTAGTACCGGCTCGCGGGCCGGTACTTTGAGACCGCTGATCTAGATGGAGTCAAGAGTCTGTGTATATTCTTGTTGCTAATTGACAAAATGGTTGAGAGCGCTCTAACTGTGTTGAAAAAAGAAAACTCACGTTTTGGAAGTTGCTGTGATGTTTGGTCACGAAGGACTGATGTGACTGGAACACATATGATATCACAGCAGGCTGAGGATTGCATCAGGGAGACATGTGGGGAGCTAGCCTGGAGGTGGTTATACAAGGACTGTGGAGAACCGTAAGGAGACAGCTGGCCAGGCTGAATCCCGTCGGCTGTGCGAGATGAGCCGCTCTGTAGCGGTGCTGTCACTGTCGGGTCGCAGTGGCGGTGGGCTCGGCTCCAGTCGGCACAAGCGTCCGTCAGACTGAGTGGTAGGGGGTGTGCTCCTGTTAGCTACGCGTTTCAAGGCTGCTGCCTCTTTGTGAAGCCTGGGATCGTGGTGAGAGAAAAAAATTGCGGGAAGGGTTTGGTCTATTTGAATCTGACAGCTGGGAGGAGCCCGAGGCCGTCCACTGTCTGCGATTGGTGACCTGACTAGAGGGGGCGGGGCAAGCTCGTGATTATATCCATAAGCCGTCAGCCCTTGAGCTGGCAGGTTGCGGACCGCGGACAGTAAAAGTTAATTCCTTAATGCTCATTAGAGGGGCTCGGTGAAGACCATACAGAACAGTATCTAATGATATCCGGGGATGTGGATGCCTTATTGATTCTGCATAAATAACGTAACATAAAGAGAGTGAACCGGAATTTGGTATTGGTACATATAATAACA